AAAGAGAAAATAGATACTCTCTCTATTTAATACTAATATACGAGGGATACACCCGAGAATAGGTGATAGGAATTTAAAGAAGGCAAAAATTTGACAAGCGTACATTTAAAAAACAAACTAAAATAAAATATGCAAGGTAAAATATTAAAGCGCATAAGCGAGAGAGACAAAGAGAAGAGAGAGAGAGAGAAAGAGGACACGACTGACAGAGCGAGATAGAGATGACGAATAGAACGGTAATGCAGGGACGGGGAAGGGAATACAGAACGGGACGAGGAGAGAACACGAGCAGACGGAAGGTACGGAGCGAAACGTACTCATGACGTACTCACCTTAGGCCTGTAAAACCATTTTCTGATGGACTCCATCATATCGCGATACCGCTGACGTCATCGGTGTGTGTATGCTGACGGATACGTCGTCACTGCCCTCGTCGCGATCGAGACACTCGCGACGTTGACATATCGCGTTTCTCCGGAGCCACACTACCCCGGAGATTTGGGCGACGAGCTTGCACGACGAGCGACGATTAATGACAACCACAACCACGACAACGACGACGACGAGGACGACGACGACGACGATGACGCGACACAGTTTATGCGTACCAGCATTGACGATGATCACGACGACGACGACGACGACGACGACTGATCGACCTCGCACAACGGCCTGCCTGCGTTGCTCACTCGCGGAAATGCATGTCGGCCGAAACGCGCGTTGGTAAAACTGAGGTGACAAGCGTGCGGGCAGAGTGTCCGCAAAAAGACGCAGCTGTCTAACGCGCGTGCGTTCAACGCGACAATCGAGAAAAGATGAATCGACACCGCGCGCTGCCGCATAGCACGTAGATGCACGAAGGATAGTAATGGAATTTCTTCTTTCTCATTCATCGGTATCGAGATACCGACGAGATGCTATCATTATAATATATAATTTTTATTACACGTATATACATATATCACTATAGTATTTCTCTCTTGCATTGGTGATCGCGGTAACACTTTGCATTCGCGCAATTTTAATGTAAATTCAAGTATATATGATCATCTTTACACAGATAATATTAATTTTTATTATAAAGGAAAAGTAAATATTTTGAACTAGAACTTTAATTAATGTATAAAAAAATTATTTTATATTTTACATTAATGAATCATAACAGATAAGAAAACGATAACTGATAAGAAAAATATATCTTGTTTAAACTATTTATTTATTTTTTATTTCAAGTACTATTTCGTCCATCTGCATTCAATCAATGCAAAATATGAAATAATTTTTTATACTATATATTAATTAAAATTTTTATACTATATAATAATTAAAATTCTAGTTTGAAATATTTATTTTTGATTTTACAATCGACAAATCAATAATTATAATTATTACTAAAAATATTATTTATACAAAGGATACTGTCAAAATGTAAAGCAGAATTTCGTTCGGTAGTTTTCAATCGATATCGTTTCAAACGAACAAACATGCATTGAACTTTTTTATATTAACTTATAAATATAAAACTTTTTATGCATAAATATAAAATGTTTTTTTATAAAACTTGCTCTTTTCCGACAGAACTTTTCTGACTTTAGAATCATGCAAATCCATACAATAATGTCTCGTATATAGCTACGCACCAGTAATTACCTAATCACCTAAAACAGTTATTTATTCCGGTTTGATAAACCAGCCCGTAGGTAGTCCACGATCGAAGGAAGTTGGGCCAATTTTCGCACAATGTCAACTAATATTAATTACTAGTAATGATTAGTCTTATTGTGCGCCGCTGTCTAAGAGCAGTAATCTGTCTTTCGGTATCGATTATTATTTTAGGATACTCCAGCTTTTCTCTTGGAGCATATATAAAGCTCCTTCGCGATCAGACCAAAGCACAGTTTTGACAGGACCTTCTACGAGAACAGCAGTATCGTTTCAGCAACGACAAAATTTCAATCAAGGTGCGCGCGCTTATTATCACTTCTCGCTCTTAATATCGTAATTAAATCAAGAATTATTAATTTAGACTTAGGTCCTGATGAAAATCTTTTTTATATAAACTTTTGGAAGTTTGTTTTAAATTTTTTAAATTTAAAAATAAAACGAAAATTTTTTTTTTATATCTCGAAAGCTTTTATTCGCAAATATATTGATTTTATATAAGAAATGTCTGGTCTATCCGCAATGGTACACTGTATCTACGTTGATTGTGAGTATCTCTTTCTCTCTTATCGACGATTGATACAGCAGCAATTGATTACAATGGATGAAGATACAGGATTTTAAGAACGTGAAAACAATACAGATCCGAAGTCATAACAGAGATGGTGCGGCGTTTAAAATTTTCTCGCGATTTCACGTTGGATTAATCTTTCGATTCTATAATTTTACTTAAAGTCGATTATTACGTAAAGATCAGAATAATTTTTCTTTTTTATTGAATGTATAGTTTTTTCTTTAAAGATTCTATCAAAGTAAAATTTCTTTAATATTAACAGAGGAGTGCTATTTCATTAAAAAAGGGCATATCTCTCTCTGATTTTTACAGCACTGTATATACTGAATTCTTGAAATATTTTTGTATACAATAATTAATACATACTTGTGTTGATTTTTAAAGAAAGGAGAGATATAATAGCATTGCTCATAAGTCACGTTCCCAAATGAAGAAAATTTGATTCGCAAACGTCTTCTTTAAGCGAAAGAATTTTGTCGTCGTTATCGCAAATTATAGACCCGCATATCGTGGGAAGACTCGAGTAATCGTATACGGATAATAGAAGTATCAATAGAGAAAATGATACATAATGAACAGATAGACTTACGGCAAAAGGTGGGAGAGAAACGGAACAATCGAGCTGTGGAGCTAATGGATTACGAAACATACGACAAATTGCCCGTCAGCGTGAAATGGAAAATCCACGATACAACTTCAACGCGGCGAAATAAATTGTTTCTTTGGCATTTTCCAATTTCGTTCCCGCGCGCTCTAATATCATGCGCGACGAAAAAATTCCAGGTAGAAAATAATTATTTTGCGGCCGCCTTCAATAAATCGTGTTTAATCAATTAACTTCTAATGCACAAAGTGTCTGAATTTAATCGATTGCTGTCTTCCATATAATAAGTTGAAAAAATGATAGGTGTATATCAATCAATGAGTAATATTTCGCGAGTAATATTTAATTCTCTTATCTAAAAAGTGCTGTTTTCTGATATTGTAAGAGAAATAATAATGCAAATATATGTATTTGCGGAAAATAATTCATCGATAATTATGTCATCTCGCGCCGTACAATTTTCCGAGTCGTTCCCAGAATTCTGTCTCCTCTCTTTGTTTTGTTTTACTACAAATTAAACATCGCTTAATATTATTGCTAAACGCGCGATGCACCGCGTGTTTATTGGCGTGTTTCCCGCTGCGACTCGGACGGTTCATCCCTATGCAACGGAGATGCCGGTCACGTCTCTTATCCGCTCGGACACTTAGTAGCACTTACGCTTATCTTAATGACCAGGGACGCGCTCGTAGCGTTAATGGTCCTCTTAAAATTAGCACGCGGAACAAAGCTGAGCGCGGGCTCTGAAAATTTTCGAAAAATGCCTCTCGCTCCGTATACACGCGTCGATGCAATAAATGCATCATCTTTTTTTTTTATTATTATACTGTAACAACTAGGAGTTTAAAAAAGAGTCAAATGTGCAGCTTGCAAGAATTTTACATTTATTGTAGTAGTTCAGATTTAAATTTGATAGGCTGTATTGTTAAATATCTAAATGCGGTGTTTGCATATTTGTATAAAAGTGAAAAGATATCAATAAATATTTTATTGAATAATTTTTGATTAACGAATAATCTGAAAATGCGTGGATGAGAAAAGAAAATAGTTGCGATGAAGCATATCGTTTCGCTGTAACGCTTGCGTCATCGATTGACGTTCTATCAAAAATAATATCCCCCGATGAAAAAAGCGAGCAATATAAACTCGCGATCGCGCAATTTTAAATTGCACGGTTTTGTGTACGGATCATTGCCTCGACAAGTCTATCGTGACTTAGTTATAGATCTATTGTTTTTCCTTCGCCTTCATTTTACGTTGAAAACGCGAGCCAAGACTTCCTTTTCCTTCGCTGTTCTTGCAGGCAAAACGATTATGATTTCATGAAATTGCAAAAGATCGTCGTGACACGTTGCAGGAAGATTTCCTTCCGATGTTAGAAAAATTGTAATTATCGCGGTTAATTAAGTTATACTTTTCTCTCGCACGCTTGTGTCCGATAATAATGGATAACCTGTATAAAATCCAGTCAGCTGCGAATCGTAAGACAAAACGTAAATCCGCAAGTCGGTAAAAAGTAAAAGACTGCTTTAATAATACCCGTCGAATTATTTGAGCGCGTCACTCACGGCGAGTTACCGCGATAATTAACGTTTGAAAGTCATTAGTCGTGTGTCTTTGAGAGCTGCCAATATGTTCGGAATCGCTCGCCCTTGCGCAATTATTTAACATACTAATACGGCGAATGTTTGAAGGAACAGAAGCGTTCCGCCGATATATCGATTGCCCTCTTTGCGTTTCTCATTTCTTCGTTTCTATTATCTGAAGGAAACACGCTGTCCCCGTCATCGCCGTATTTGCCTTTTTCAGATGACGGCCAAATGCATGTTCATTCTTTTTGTTGTCCTATCGTTGGTCGTGAGCAGCGCGCTTTGCCAAACTTTCCAATATAGTCGCGGATGGACCAACGGCAAGCGATCCGAGTTTCCGAGCTCGCCGGAAATCTCCGCTCTAGGAGACGAGCGTTTCAACAGCGGTGATCTCAAGAGGCTGAAGATGCTGATACACGGAAGCGCCGACGAACAAGTAAACTTTAGAATAATAACTTGTCGTCTGCGCTGAAATGTGTTTAGTGTTGTATAAATCGTACAGACGGTGTTGCACGTTCTCTTAATAATAAGATTTGAATAAATCTATTAATACCTTGTTCTCAGCCGCTGGTGATCCACTGCGATTTCGTGGACAAACTGAGGAAATTCGTTCACATGGATAATTATGCCCCTCAGCTGCGCCGGGAAAAGGGACCGAATGAGGATAATTACTGAAAGGGATACTCGTCGTGATGTACTTGTATTGATCGTGATTGTTTTGAAGATATACTCGGCATGTAAATTTAGACGCGTAGTTTTAGTCAAACCAGAATAAATTATCATAATAATCGTAAAAATCTGTACCCTGAGATGATTATTCGCAGTCACGTATATACCCATAAGAAAACCATATCCTTATCGATGTTACGAAATGCTATAATCTTTATGGAAGGATTCGTAGAGGGGAAAGAAATATATACGATTGATAAATCGTGGAAAGTGTTGAAATTAAATTCATACGCTGTCGCGCGTATTTCTTGGTCGAGTTTGCCGAGTCTCACCCGACTCAGTCGGTGACGGCTAATTAAGTTTTGCTCTCTTAATTGGACAGTCGGTCGGATGGAATAGATCGCGGACGATCGTCCGCGATGGGTACTCGACACGGGGGGATTTTGTCTGTCAACGGAAGATGGAGTGAAACTGTGCCGAATAGAGACACCCGCTGAGTCCGTGGATTATCCCTACGGGCAACTTATCTCCCGCTGCGATACAGCACTCGCCGAGAGTATCGGATGTTGGCGATAAGGATCGTTTGAGCGAAAACATAACAGATTAATTTTTGATTGAACCTCGCGATTCCCTGTTTAGGGCCGCGGTTTATTCGCACGAAAATGTGTAAATCAATGTCTCGTTGTTCCAGAAATACGAGGCGCGAGAGCCTCGTAGATTTGAGAGGACGTATCAACGTCGTGATAATCGACACGTTCGATTATATATAGAACTAATGTCGATACGACGATTTTCGCGGCACTCAAGATTATTGCTAGACAACGCCGGGGAGTGTGTAGGTAACTATTGCACACGGCTAATGCACTTAAAACTTAGCTGTTAATCAGAAACCAATTACAGGGGTTGGGGAGGGGGGTGGGGACGGGAACGAGACGAGTTTAATCGCATTAAATATTAAAACGTTCTGACGATACCGCACTGTTCTCCCGTGTTATACCCGGTGTCTCCGCCGAGTCAGTCATCACGGGGTGGGCACACACCCGCACGTGTCGTCTGCTCCGGCCATTTTCCCATTTGTCTCGATACCCACGGGAACGACCGACTAACGACCATCGTATTCTCCGAGCGAGTACTTTGCATCAAGAATCTTGGAGATCATGATGAGAGATCGCGATAATCGAATCATTTCCCGACAGAGAACTTTTGCACGATAATGAATTTAATTGCCAAGAATTTTCATCGAGTAGATTGCACCTTTTTGAGATTTTCTATTGTTAAAGATAATTTAAAAAAACCAATATAGGGAAATATATATTCTTTCCCGTATGCGGTTTTTCCGATCTAATAAAATGTCTCGTGAAATGATCATCGCGATACATTAAATAAGCGTCGCGAAATTGTACGTTCGTATATTTTGCGGCGATAAAGCCTGATGGTCGGCGACTTGCACGGTCTCATAAAATAGCACCGATCGCGAAATATACAGCCTGTCGAGGAATAATGTAGAACTTGATGGAACCTCGTTGAATATATGAATCATAACGTAAATGATGTACGATCCATTTCTGTGTGTCCCTCGCAAATATTTTAACATATATTCCATATATAAATTATATATATATATATATAGTAAAATCCATATAATTGGAATAAATCTTCACTCTAAAAGCGATGTTATCTTGATTATGAAATGTAAGATTAAAGCATTATTCTCTTTCGAATACATAAGACAAATTCGGAGTTACATAAATGTTATATCGTGAAAATTGTAATCGTTCCTCGAGAAATTCGTCGAGGATTATTACTTCATTACATTTTTTTCCGAAATTTTTCGCCCGTCTGCAAACTTTAAAAACACGCCTCTCTTTTCGCACAGATACATAACAAGCTGCGGAACGAATTCCTATTAGCGATAGAGAAGAGAGAAACGTCGGCGCGGTGAAAAGCGGTCCGACGGCTCTCCCCGGATATAAATACATAAAATCGGGCAATCATCCTAAATGGTCGCCTCGCTACCGGATCAGGAGCGGCTGTCGCCTTTTTCGTGCTGTCGTCTGTCGCTTGTCGTTTGTCGCGCGACAAGGGAGCGCGTAGTTCCAGCGCCACGTAGTTGAAAACGAGAAAAAGCGCGGAACGACGGAAAAGCGTTTGACAAGTACAATTTCCGTCTCGGTCATGTCACGCTCGCTCGTTGCTTTTATTACTTTCGCTCGTGCCTCCTCCACACCCTTCCCTCGCGAGAAGACACGTTAACGTTCATCGTATTGCTTCCAAGCACATCGGGCGGGACGTTAATTTCCTCGACATAACGATATAATATTTTCTCGTTTATTATCGAATTATTTTCAAGCGTTAAAAATATTCCTTGCTTAATATACTGTGCTTTATATTATTTTCTTCTTTTCCCTCTCTTTGTTAAAGAGACGATCTTCGTAAACGCGAACGCCATCATTCGTTCCCGGCGACGTCGGTGTCATCGATGATCCGGGAAGGAATAGACGTGATCGCCGTCCGTCTGGCGGCGTCTAGCCGAAAAAAAAAGTGATTTTGATTTTAACACGGTTCTCTCGGTTGTTCCCGCCGCGACGAAACCGCAAACGATCGGAAATAGAGAGAGACTACGCTCCGCAAGATAGTTGCAGAGGGACCCGTTTTACGGGACAGGAAATGAACGGTGCCTCTCGACACACTGTGTTTTAGGAAACGCTCACGAGGCACTTAACGGCCACGAAAATTGATCGGCCTCCTACGTTCGATCGTGATGCCACCCAACTGGGCGTTCTCCGAAACGGAACCGGAGTACTTTCCTCGCCGGAAGATCACCGACAAAATTTCTATCTTTCTCGGAACAACGCATTATTGTATAAGAGATTTTTTTTTAATGTGACCTTAGGATATTTTCGGATAATAAAAAATGTCCCTTTCCGATAGTAAAACCGTTTGAAAATTCCGTTGAATTTTCTGTTTGAAATTATCTGGAAGTTATAGATATAATTGTTACTATCTCGCGCGCGATAATCCCGGAAAAATATCTTCGGATGCTCGACGAGCGTGCGTCGCGTTCGCGGATTTATTTTTCATCGGAACTATCAATTTCCATAAGCGTGACTCGTTGTTGCCATCGAGAAATTGAACCGCCATTCGGCTATGCGGCGATGAGAAAAAAAGCATAGCGTTCTCTCTCTCTCTCTTTCGCGAAGCGCAATCACAATAAATTTTCTACGCTTCGTGTAAATATGGCAGCGCGCCGCTCATGATTTTATAAACGCGCTCCCCGCGTGTCATGCGTGTGTGTTACGCGCACGCATACGTGCCTGAACGCAACATGCATACATATGTATACGTATCGGCTCTGCAGTGCGCGGATACCGTACCATACGATACGGTATTCAAGAATGGCGATCAAACGGAGAACGATGTTATTAACATCGCTTCTATATTCTCTATGGATTCGTTTTATTGTTCTCCTCCGAGTGATCTCGTTGAAAATTTTATCCCAACGTATATGTACTATAGCCGATTGTACGAAAAGATCGACGCGTTATTAACGAGTCTCTCAAGACAAGGTCTCTCGTTCCCACGATATCGCGCCGCGCGCACGAAATCAGATAGCCCGACAAAGCGGATAATATTACGCGCGCTCCCAGGAAATTAACGAGAGTGCGATAAACTCGTTCTCCAATTAAGCGCGATGAATAATTTCAATTATGTGTATCGCACTATTTGCTATCTACGATATATCGTCAGCATCTCTATAAGGGTATATATTGGCTCAAAGAAGGATGAAAGGAAGAAATAATTGTTAAACGTCATATATATTTGGAAAGGAGAGAGATATCTGGATTAGTTTTTAATTTATGTTATTTTTCCTCCCTTCTAAATTTTTTTAATTTAAAAATAAAACGAAAATTTTTTTTTTATATCTCGAAAGCTTTTATTCGCAAATATATTGATTTTATATAAGAAATGTCTGGTCTATCCGCAATGGTACACTGTATCTACGTTGATTGTGAGTATCTCTTTCTCTCTTATCGACGATTGATACAGCAGCAATTGATTACAATGGATGAAGATACAGGATTTTAAGAACGTGAAAACAATACAGATCCGAAGTCATAACAGAGATGGTGCGGCGTTTAAAATTTTCTCGCGATTTCACGTTGGATTAATCTTTCGATTCTATAATTTTACTTAAAGTCGATTATTACGTAAAGATCAGAATAATTTTTCTTTTTTATTGAATGTATAATTTTTTCTTTAAAGATTCTATCAAAGTAAAATTTCTTTAGTATTAACAGAGGAGTGCTATTTCATTAAAAAAGGGCATATCTCTCTCTGATTTTTACAGCACTGTATATACTGAATTCTTGAAATATTTTTGTATACAATAATTAATACATACTTGTGTTGATTTTTAAAGAAAGGAGAGATATAATAGCATTGCTCATAAGTCACGTTCCCAAATGAAGAAAATTTGATTCGCAAACGTCTTCTTTAAGCGAAAGAATTTTGTCGTCGTTATCGCAAATTATAGACCCGCATATCGTGGGAAGACTCGAGTAATCGTATACGGATAATAGAAGTATCAATAGAGAAAATGATACATAATGAACAGATAGACTTACGGCAAAAGGTGGGAGAGAAACGGAACAATCGAGCTGTGGAGCTAATGGATTACGAAACATACGACAAATTGCCCGTCAGCGTGAAATGGAAAATCCACGATACAACTTCAACGCGGCGAAATAAATTGTTTCTTTGGCATTTTCCAATTTCGTTCCCGCGCGCTCTAATATCATGCGCGACGAAAAAATTCCAGGTAGAAAATAATTATTTTGCGGCCGCCTTCAATAAATCGTGTTTAATCAATTAACTTCTAATGCACAAAGTGTCTGAATTTAATCGATTGCTGTCTTCCATATAATAAGTTGAAAAAATGATAGGTGTATATCAATCAATGAGCAATATTTCGCGAGTAATATTTAATTCTCTTATCTAAAAAGTGCTGTTTTCTGATATTGTAAGAGAAATAATAATGCAAATATATGTATTTGCGGAAAATAATTCATCGATAATTATGTCATCTCGCGCCGTACAATTTTCCGAGTCGTTCCCAGAATTCTGTCTCCTCTCTTTGTTTTGTTTTACTACAAATTAAACATCGCTTAATATTATTGCTAAACGCGCGATGCACCGCGTGTTTATTGGCGTGTTTCCCGCTGCGACTCGGACGGTTCATCCCTATGCAACGGAGATGCCGGTCACGTCTCTTATCCGCTCGGACACTTAGTAGCACTTACGCTTATCTTAATGACCAGGGACGCGCTCGTAGCGTTAATGGTCCTCTTAAAATTAGCACGCGGAACAAAGCTGAGCGCGGGCTCTGAAAATTTTCGAAAAATGCCTCTCGCTCCGTATACACGCGTCGATGCAATAAATGCATCATCTTTTTTTTTTATTATTATACTGTAACAACTAGGAGTTTAAAAAAGAGTCAAATGTGCAGCTTGCAAGAATTTTACATTTATTGTAGTAGTTCAGATTTAAATTTGATAGACTGTATTGTTAAATATCTAAATGCGGTGTTTGCATATTTGTATAAAAGTGAAAAGATATCAATAAATATTTTATTGAATAATTTTTGATTAACGAATAATCTGAAAATGCGTGGATGAGAAAAGAAAATAGTTGCGATGAAGCATATCGTTTCGCTGTAACGCTTGCGTCATCGATTGACGTTCTATCAAAAATAATATCCCCCGATGAAAAAAGCGAGCAATATAAACTCGCGATCGCGCAATTTTAAATTGCACGGTTTTGTGTACGGATCATTGCCTCGACAAGTCTATCGTGACTTAGTTATAGATCTATTGTTTTTCCTTCGCCTTCATTTTACGTTGAAAACGCGAGCCAAGACTTCCTTTTCCTTCGCTGTTCTTGCAGGCAAAACGATTATGATTTCATGAAATTGCAAAAGATCGTCGTGACACGTTGCAGGAAGATTTCCTTCCGATGTTAGAAAAATTGTAATTATCGCGGTTAATTAAGTTATACTTTTCTCTCGCACGCTTGTGTCCGATAATAATGGATAACCTGTATAAAATCCAGTCAGCTGCGAATCGTAAGACAAAACGTAAATCCGCAAGTCGGTAAAAAGTAAAAGACTGCTTTAATAATACCCGTCGAATTATTTGAGCGCGTCACTCACGGCGAGTTACCGCGATAATTAACGTTTGAAAGTCATTAGTCGTGTGTCTTTGAGAGCTGCCAATATGTTCGGAATCGCTCGCCCTTGCGCAATTATTTAACATACTAATACGGCGAATGTTTGAAGGAACAGAAGCGTTCCGCCGATATATCGATTGCCCTCTTTGCGTTTCTCATTTCTTCGTTTCTATTATCTGAAGGAAACACGCTGTCCCCGTCACCGCCGTATTTGCCTTTTTCAGATGACGGCCAAATGCATGTTCATTCTTTTTGTTGTCCTATCGTTGGTCGTGAGCAGCGCGCTTTGCCAAACTTTCCAATATAGTCGCGGATGGACCAACGGCAAGCGATCCGAGTTTCCGAGCTCGCCGGAAATCTCCGCTCTAGGAGACGAGCGTTTCAACAGCGGTGATCTCAAGAGGCTGAAGATGCTGATACACGGAAGCGCCGACGAACAAGTAAACTTTAGAATAATAACTTGTCGTCTGCGCTGAAATGTGTTTAGTGTTGTATAAATCGTACAGACGGTGTTGCACGTTCTCTTAATAATAAGATTTGAATAAATCTATTAATACCTTGTTCTCAGCCGCTGGTGATCCACTGCGATTTCGTGGACAAACTGAGGAAATTCGTTCACATGGATAATTATGCCCCTCAGCTGCGCCGGGAAAAGGGACCGAATGAGGATAATTACTGAAAGGGATACTCGTCGTGATGTACTTGTATTGATCGTGATTGTTTTGAAGATATACTCGGCATGTAAATTTAGACGCGTAGTTTTAGTCAAACCAGAATAAATTATCATAATAATCGTAAAAATCTGTACCCTGAGATGATTATTCGCAGTCACGTATATACCCATAAGAAAACCATATCCTTATCGATGTTACGAAATGCTATAATCTTTATGGAAGGATTCGTAGAGGGGAAAGAAATATATACGATTGATAAATCGTGGAAAGTGTTGAAATTAAATTCATACGCTGTCGCGCGTATTTCTTGGTCGAGTTTGCCGAGTCTCACCCGACTCAGTCGGTGACGGCTAATTAAGTTTTGCTCTCTTAATTGGACAGTCGGTCGGATGGAATAGATCGCGGACGATCGTCCGCGATGGGTACTCGACACGGGGGGATTTTGTCTGTCAACGGAAGATGGAGTGAAACTGTGCCGAATAGAGACACCCGCTGAGTCCGTGGATTATCCCTACGGGCAACTTATCTCCCGCTGCGATACAGCACTCGCCGAGAGTATCGGATGTTGGCGATAAGGATCGTTTGAGCGAAAACATAACAGATTAATTTTTGATTGAACCTCGCGATTCCCTGTTTAGGGCCGCGGTTTATTCGCACGAAAATGTGTAAATCAATGTCTCGTTGTTCCAGAAATACGAGGCGCGAGAGCCTCGTAGATTTGAGAGGACGTATCAACGTCGTGATAATCGACACGTTCGATTATATATAGAACTAATGTCGATACGACGATTTTCGCGGCACTCAAGATTATTGCTAGACAACGCCGGGGAGTGTGTAGGTAACTATTGCACACGGCTAATGCACTTAAAACTTAGCTGTTAATCAGAAACCAATTACAGGGGTTGGGGAGGGGGGTGGGGACGGGAACGAGACGAGTTTAATCGCATTAAATATTAAAACGTTCTGACGATACCGCACTGTTCTCCCGTGTTATACCCGGTGTCTCCGCCGAGTCAGTCATCACGGGGTGGGCACACACCCGCACGTGTCGTCTGCTCCGGCCATTTTCCCATTTGTCTCGATACCCACGGGAACGACCGACTAACGACCATCGTATTCTCCGAGCGAGTACTTTGCATCAAGAATCTTGGAGATCATGATGAGAGATCGCGATAATCGAATCATTTCCCGACAGAGAACTTTTGCACGATAATGAATTTAATTGCCAAGAATTTTCATCGAGTAGATTGCACCTTTTTGAGATTTTCTATTGTTAAAGATAATTTAAAAAAACCAATATAGGGAAATATATATTCTTTCCCGTATGCGGTTTTTCCGATCTAATAAAATGTCTCGTGAAATGATCATCGCGATACATTAAATAAGCGTCGCGAAATTGTACGTTCGTATATTTTGCGGCGATAAAGCCTGATGGTCGGCGACTTGCACGGTCTCATAAAATAGCACCGATCGCGAAATATACAGCCTGTCGAGGAATAATGTAGAACTTGATGGAACCTCGTTGAATATATGAATCATAACGTAAATGATGTACGATCCATTTCTGTGTGTCCCTCGCAAATATTTTAACATATATTCCATATATAAATTATATATATATATATATAGTAAAATCCATATAATTGGAATAAATCTTCACTCTAAAAGCGATGTTATCTTGATTATGAAATGTAAGATTAAAGCATTATTCTCTTTCGAATACATAAGACAAATTCGGAGTTACATAAATGTTATATCGTGAAAATTGTAATCGTTCCTCGAGAAATTCGTCGAGGATTATTACTTCATTACATTTTTTTCCGAAATTTTTCGCCCGTCTGCAAACTTTAAAAACACGCCTCTCTTTTCGCACAGATACATAACAAGCTGCGGAACGAATTCCTATTAGCGATAGAGAAGAGAGAAACGTCGGCGCGGTGAAAAGCGGTCCGACGGCTCTCCCCGGATATAAATACATAAAATCGGGCAATCATCCTAAATGGTCGCCTCGCTACCGGATCAGGAGCGGCTGTCGCCTTTTTCGTGCTGTCGTCTGTCGCTTGTCGTTTGTCGCGCGACAAGGGAGCGCGTAGTTCCAGCGCCACGTAGTTGAAAACGAGAAAAAGCGCGGAACGACGGAAAAGCGTTTGACAAGTACAATTTCCGTCTCGGTCATGTCACGCTCGCTCGTTGCTTTTATTACTTTCGCTCGTGCCTCCTCCACACCCTTCCCTCGCGAGAAGACACGTTAACGTTCATCGTATTGCTTCCAAGCACATCGGGCGGGACGTTAATTTCCTCGACATAACGATATAATATTTTCTCGTTTATTATCGAATTATTTTCAAGCGTTAAAAATATTCCTTGCTTAATATACTGTGCTTTATATTATTTTCTTCTTTTCCCTCTCTTTGTTAAAGAGACGATCTTCGTAAACGCGAACGCCATCATTCGTTCCCGGCGACGTCGGTGTCATCGATGATCCGGGAAGGAATAGACGTGATCGCCGTCCGTCTGGCGGCGTCTAGCCGAAAAAAAAAGTGATTTTGATTTTAACACGGTTCTCTCGGTTGTTCCCGCCGCGACGAAACCGCAAACGATCGGAAATAGAGAGAGACTACGCTCCGCAAGATAGTTGCAGAGGGACCCGTTTTACGGGACAGGAAATGAACGGTGCCTCTCGACACACTGTGTTTTAGGAAACGCTCACGAGGCACTTAACGGCCACGAAAATTGATCGGCCTCCTACGTTCGATCGTGATGCCACCCAACTGGGCGTTCTCCGAAACGGAACCGGAGTACTTTCCTCGCCGGAAGATCACCGACAAAATTTCTATCTTTCTCGGAACAACGCATTATTGTATAAGAGATTTTTTTTTAATGTGACCTTAGGATATTTTCGGATAATAAAAAATGTCCCTTTCCGATAGTAAAACCGTTTGAAAATTCCGTTGAATTTTCTGTTTGAAATTATCTGGAAGTTATAGATATAATTGTTACTATCTCGCGCGCGATAATCCCGGAAAAATATCTTCGGATGCTCGACGAGCGTGCGTCGCGTTCGCGGATTTATTTTTCATCGGAACTATCAATTTCCATAAGCGTGACTCGTTGTTGCCATCGAGAAATTGAACCGCCATTCGGCTATGCGGCGATGAGAAAAAAAGCATAGCGTTCTCTCTCTCTCTCTTTCGCGAAGCGCAATCACAATAAATTTTCTACGCTTCGTGTAAATATGGCAGCGCGCCGCTCATGATTTTATAAACGCGCTCCCCGCGTGTCTCGACATAACGATATAATATTTTCTCGTTTATTATCGAATTATTTTCAAGCGTTAAAAATATTCCTTGCTTAATATACTGTGCTTTATATTATTTTCTTCTTTTCCCTCTCTTTGTTAAAGAGACGATCTCCGTAAACGCGAACGCCATCATTCGTTCCCGGCGACGTCGGTGTCATCGATGATCCGGGAAGGAATAGACGTGATCGCCGTCCGTCTGGCGGCGTCTAGCCGAAAAAAAAAGTGATTTTGATTTTAACACGGTTCTCTCGGTTGTTCCCGCCGCGACGAAACCGCAAACGATCGGAAATAGAGAGAGACTACGCTCCGCAAGATAGTTGCAGAGGGACCCGTTTTACGGGACAGGAAATGAACGGTGCCTCTCGACACACTGTGTTTTAGGAAACGCTCACGAGGCACTTAACGGCCACGAAAATTGATCGGCCTCCTACGTTCGATCGTGATGCCACCCAACTGGGCGTTCTCCGAAACGGAACCGGAGTACTTTCCTCGCCGGAAGATCACCGACAAAATTTCTATCTTTCTCGGAACAACGCATTATTGTATAAGAGATTTTTTTTTAATGTGACCTTAGGATATTTTCGGATAATAAAAAATGTCCCTTTCCGATAGTAAAACCGTTTGAAAATTCCGTTGAATTTTCTGTTTGAAATTATCTGGAAGTTATAGATATAATTGTTACTATCTCGCGCGCGATAATCCCGGAAAAATATCTTCGGATGCTCGACGAGCGTGCGTCGCGTTCGCGGATTTATTTTTCATCGGAACTATCAATTTCCATAAGCGTGACTCGTTGTTGCCATCGAGAAATTGAACCGCCATTCGGCTATGCGGCGATGAGAAAAAAAGCGTAGCGTTCTCTCTCTCTCTCTTTCGCGAAGCGCAATCACAATAAATTTTCTACGCTTCGTGTAAATATGGCAGCGCGCCGCTCATGATTTTATAAACGCGCTCCCCGCGTGTCATGCGTGTGTGTTACGCGCACGCATACGTGCCTGAACGCAACATGCATACATATGTATACGTATCGGCTCTGCAGTGCGCGGATACCGTACCATACGATGCGGTATTCAAGAATGGCGATCAAACGGAGAACGATGTTATTAACATCGCTTCTATATTCTCTATGGATTCGTTTTATTGTTCTCCTCCGAGTGATCTCGTTGAAAATTTTATCCCAACGTATATGTACTATAGCCGATTGTACGAAAAGATCGACGCGTTATTAACGAGTCTCTCAAGACAAGGTCTCTCGTTCCCACGATATCGCGCCGCGCGCACGAAATCAGATAGCCCGACAAAGCGGATAATATTACGCGCGCTCCCAGGAAATTAACGAGAGTGCGATAAACTCGTTCTCCAATTAAGCGCGATGAATAATTTCAATTATGTGTATCGCACTATTTGCTATCTACGATATATCGTCAGCATCTCTATAAGGGTATATATTGGCTCAAAGAAGGATGAAAGGAAGAAATAATTGTTAAACGTCATATATATTTGGAAAGGAGAGAGATATCTGGATTAGTTTTTAATTTATGTTATTTTTCCTCCCTTCTCTTCTCCCCCGCTCCCCCCTAGCTACGCGAAGTAATGCGGAGGGGTGGCGCGTGCGTGCCGAGAGAGCGTGCATGAAAGCGTAGATTAATTTCCAGGGTGTGCGCCGGTCTCGGGGAGGGCAACGAGAGTAGTAAACGACATCAATAATTTGCATAATTCCGCGTCGATTTATGCGTGACTCGCGAGATTACACGAAGATCCGCGGGCGCCCGTGCTTGGGACTTGCAATTTTCTCGAAAAACGCTATTATTTACACATTCCATTGACGGGAGAAAATGAATGTACTTTGTTAGCTTAAAGAAACACTAAACGATGAAGACGTTTAGTTAGAAAACATTGCCTGCTTGAACGCGCGAGTTAATTTAAGGATAAAGAGAAAGAGAAAGAAAAAAAGAGAGAAAAATATATTTTTTTGAGATTTTCACGGAGAAAAGGGAGATATGAAAATCGCTTCGAGCACTTGTTTAACGTCATTACAAAATGGTACGTGAAACGTATATTAAATATCAATATTTTTAAATCCTGAATCTCCGAAAATTTGACCGGGGTTTTTTAATCTCCGATTTTTTCCTGCATCTCCACGTTGCGGTCAACGACTTGTCGTCGGCGTTTCGGTCGCGGGGTTCGACAGAGCCACTTCGGATGTCTTGATACTCGGGGACTTCGTAATTGGTCATCTCCTTTCGTCCTCCCCCTCCCCGCTCCATCGGCGCAGCATCTACGTTAAAAACTAGAAATACCGCAGGTAAAGATCTCCGCTTTTGTGGGACGAGATTACAGGGCGCCGATGACGCGCCGCTCGGTCCGGTAGGTAGGTACCTGTCGGAAACTGTTCACTCGCCAGCTCTCGGCGTTAAATGCCGGAAACACTTGGGATACTTCCGTCAAATATGCTTTTTAAGGAACATATTAGGCTCCGTCTGCTTTTAGACAATCATTGGTTTGAGTCATTTAGTGAGCGATTAAACCTGCAGTAAATAATCGTTCTGAATCTATGTTTTAATTTTCGTCGTCATATAAAGTAACGTGATCAAATTTTTTTCAGTATACTATTATTATTTTTTAGATAATAATATATTATTCGTAAAATCAAAGAATATCATTTGACAAGTTAGATATATTTCCAGAATATATATTTCTATATATAGAATGTTAAATCTTTATAATTCATTCGCGAGAATACATGCATCTTAGAACGCAGATTGCACGATTCAGATCAGAAACGCAGGTATCAAAAACGCAGATACTTCGTGATCCACGAGGACCTTCGTTCCTGTTGTACCTTCGTTTGTCCCCAAATAATTGGGCGGGACGGCGCGCCGCGTCTTCTCTGCAATTATAGGCAGTAAACGCAGCCACATCCGGTACACAGGGAACTCTAGGTAAAGCGAGATAATATTCCACGAGAAAAGATACCGCGATTAAGGCGAGCGGAGAATAAGAAGTCGCGTCTTTGACGGAGGGGAAAAAAGTGTGATCGGGAAAGAGAGAAATAAAGAGGGAGAGAAAAAAAGAAACGTAAAACTGACGGATGCGAAAGATCAAAATACTGCGATCGTATACGACAAGGTAGTCGTTTGAGGATTGAAATGACGGAAATCGAGCTTTCAAAGAAGATATAGGCATTACGTTGACAGTTGGAGTAATGAGTTCTCGTTACACGGTAACCCGTTGCGATACTTTCTACGTACTTCTTAAATAAGGCAATTTACGCAAGAGTGTATATCGAGTGTGTACCGATCTTGTCGAAGAAAATGAAACGTTGTATCTCGTTCCGGGTATTTGCCGCGAAATGTGTACGAGTGACATTGTACAAAATAATGAGATTGACGTAAGGAAAGCGTATAATTGCATCTTTAAAAAGAAAGCAATTGTGTATTCCAGGTGCGTCTAACTGCACCTGTCAAAAAAATAAAATCATTAACCGCGATACTATTTCTTTTTTCGAGAGGTAGATGTATACTTTACGAGTCATTTTTATATTTTATGTGTATCACACACAAAACATTAAAATGTAAATTGTATAAATTATCTCGTCAAGTATCGATTTCTCAATAATCTTACCTAAATACTTTTATACGGGATGAGAATCGGTTTATGTAATGAAAATTATATGGTTTTATATTAAGAAGTTTTGATCTTGAGAAAGAAATTACCAAAAATATTACTTTGATATAAAAAAATTTGTTGATCGCTTTCTTATCAATCTTTTTCATAAAAGCAGCAAAGATATTTTAGATGATCAAGTTAAGCACTCGGTATATTATAAAGAATTTCCCTTTGTAAACAGAATAAACTGACACGCGCGCTACAAAATATATAATAAGAAAGAATTGCTTCAAACAAAGTCCATAATTCAATTATTAATTTCGCAATTTGAATTTCTTTAAATTTTTTTCTATTTTAAAGAAAAATTTTTGCGATAAAAAATTGCTTTTATTACTTTAAATCAAATTTATTACGATCGATATGCGATGAAATTCTGAGATAGGCGAGTTTAAAGAAATCATTAAGATTGATAATCCATGTATCACGGAATGAATCGCTACCTATTATTAAGTTAATGCTGAAATTATTACTAATTGTTCCTGCGGTAATAGACGTAATTCCGGGCTCTTCCCACGCAACCAGTGTCGGCGGTCATTCTCGCAAGGATGTTATAATTAGATAGCGAGGATTGTATAGCAGTTAAACCATTTTATATATGCATTTCAATTCTTTTTCTCGTATATACAACGTTACACGTACTTACATAACATCACATCGTTCGCTATAATAATATAATTACGACTGAACTCTTAATTTAAAAATATACATACTTAATCATATGACGACGATGACGATCGTAGTGTGTATATGTGTGTGCGTTCGTGTGTGATGTATGTGGGTAGCAATATATATATATATA